CTGCTGTAACTTTGAATGGCCATTAAGCAACAACCACCTATAAATAGTGCTAGAAGCACTGCAGATGCATCCTCATATTTACCTACAGTCTTCTGCAAGTGAGATGTTTTCACCTGCCTTCCTCATATCTAATCAGCTGAGAAGGGGCTTGCAAATGAAACCACTTCCCTCAGGTCAAATTTATTCCTTCCAACTGACACAGCTGCTCTCCGGTAGACCTTTTTCAAGGAAGGGGGGGGGGGGGCTAGGGAAGAAGAATCTACATCAGGCTACCCCAAACGCTTTGGGGCAGGGAGAAAAGGGAGGTTGCTCATCATAGATCAGGGGTCTCCAACCTTGACAACCTTTAAGACTTGTGGACTCCAACTCCCAGAGTTCCTCAGCCAGCTTTGTAAGTCTTAAACTTGCCAAGGTTGGAGACCCCTGTCATAGATGATAGTTGGTGAGGTGGATGATTGGAGCAGATCTGGCGCTTTCTACAATGCTGGAACAGATGGCTTTCTTTTGGTGTGATTCAGGAAGTGGCCACCATGTTCCCAGCATCCGCATGAAATTTTAATAGCTGGGAAGATGGCAGCTGCTTCCAAAATCACATCACATGGCTGAATGACAAAACAACAAATCACATGGCTGAGTGACAAAACAGCTTCGCTAATACAGCCTATTGTATAGTCTAGCCCCATGATGGTGAACCTATGGCACGCGGAGCCATTTTTCAGGGTACACAAGGCGTTGCTCTGCCAGCTGGCCAGCACACATGAGCATGCTTCGGCCTTCTTTTGAGGCCTTTTTCCGCCCTCTGGAGGCTGAAGCCTCTGGAGCGCGAGAAACTGATCCTATGGCAAACTGGAAGTTTGGGAAAGCCTCTGGAGCCTGGGGAGGGCGAAAAAACCGTGGCAAAAGCAAGGGGGGGGGGTTGCTGGTCATGTGCATATGTGCCAGGGGGCATCACACGCATAGCATTATGGGTGTGGCACGCCGGCACACAAACCCTTCCTGTGCTCCCCCCAACTTTGGCATGGCAGTCAAAATAGATCCGCCATCACTGGTCTAGGCTTACTAGACTATTTCTCTGTGTCATATAATATATGTGGGTATGTGCATAATTTTGTATTTATTTATTGTGTCCTGTTTATGTGGTGTATATTGGAGGTGGTGACCCTTTGAGAGCTGTAGGCAACGAGATTTCATTTTCATGTATGCCGATCAGTGTACATTCAAAGTGACAATAAAGTTATTCTATTTCCGTGATGGCAAGCCTATGGCACGCGTGCTACGGGTGGCACGCAGAACCATTTGTTAGGACATGCGAGGCCCAAAGTTCCCTCTAAGCTGCGTGGGTGCGCGGCCGCGCACGTGGAAAGTAAACACCACACAGCAGTTTCCAACTGCTGCGTGGTGTCGTTTGCTAGACACGGACTGCAGTCTGCAAAGCAGCCGCACAATCGCGATTGAAACCCGCTCCAGCTAAACAGGAGTCTTGAGGTGCAGCAGGGCAGCGAAGTGACTGGGTTGAGGATTTGAGGTGGCTCGGGCTTCCTGGAGCAACTATTTATAGGGAACATTACCCACAGCTGCCTTCCCACAAGTTTAAGAGGGTTAAATTTG